TCCAGTTTTCCCAACACCATTTGTTGAAGAGACTTTCTTTCCTCCATTGTATGTTCTTGGCTCCTTTGTCAAAGATTAGCTGTCCATAGATGTGTGGGTTTATTTTTGGGCTTTCGATTCTGTTCCATGGATCTGTGTGTCTGTTTTTGTGCCAGTACCATGCTGTTTTGGTTACTATAGCTTCAAACAAAGACTTTAAAGCATCTGCTATAACTATGCTCCCAGAGGTCAAAGTAAAGACATTTGAATGCATGGAAATGATTTGGAATGAATGGAAAAGTAGGAGTCTCTGCAGAGACATATAAACTATAAAATGAGAATCAAATGGACATTTTAGAATTTAAAAATACGATATCTGAAATAAAAAATTCACTGGATAGGCTCAATAGTGTAGTAGACAGAGAAGAGTCAGTGAACTTGGAGGTAGATCATTAAAAACTACCCAATCTGAAGAACAGAGAGAAAAAAGATTAAAAGAAAAAAAAAGGAGAACAGATCCTCAGGGACCTGTGGGACACTATCAAAAAGTTTAACATTCATGTTATTGGAGCACCAGAAGGAGAGGAAAGAGAGACGAGTGCAGAAAAAATATTTAAAGAAATGACTGACACATCCCCAATCTGATGGAAGACATACATATTCAGATTCAAGAAGCCTCAGCAAACTCCAAACAGCATAAACTCAAATATAGCAACAGCAAATGTGACAGAGGAGAAGCATTTGGTTGGTATTGTCTCTTTAAATGTGTCTATTTCTGAAAACACACATCACATCATCCTTAGAAAATAGTAGCCTCATCACGACTTAAAAATGCATTGTACACATTACATGACTTGGCCTGCTACTCTTTCGCTCCAGATCACATAAACATGGCCAGTGTCTTGCATGCTCAGGGGCATGGAATATAATTTAATATCTTCTGTATCACCAATTGATTTTTCCTTAAAAACCATCACTACCATCTTTCATTACGACTGAATAATTATTTAGCAACTAGAAATAATTTCACAATTTAAAAGCTTTACTGAACCTTGTGTATCTTCAGCCTTGGGAATTTTGTCACTGACGACATTTCCATTAGCCATTCTGGCAAATTCATCTGAAAATGCCTGGAAATAGAGAGACAGTTTTGACCACTACAATCCTCTGTAGATGAAGGAATTTGATTCATCAGGGCTTTTGTTCCTGCATGCACACATATTTAGGAGAGAGCAACTCTCAAAGTATTATTTATTTTCATTATAGATTTTTAAAGTTATGAAAATAATATATATATTCCGTTTCTACAAATGCAATTCTGTTTCTACAAATAATTTCCTATGAAAATTATCAAAGATGTGAACAAAGATATAAATGGAAAGATATTCATTACAGTGCTATTTATATTCACGAAAAAATAAAACAGTTTAAAAATTCAACAGGGAAATGGTGAAATAAATTTTAGTATATCCATGTGTTAGAATATTTAGCAGCCATTAAAAATTGCATTTCCAAAGAATAGTTAATAGAAAAGGGAAATGCTCATTTTATACTATTAAATGAAAAAAGAATGATATTAAATTACATTATATAACCCCACTTTTAAAAGTACACATGTATCAAAGAATCCTGGAATGAAATACAACTAAAAAGAACTTATGCATTTTGTATTGTTCATAGTTTCTACAATGAACGTGTATTACTTCCATAATCGGGAAGAGCAAATAACTTGCCAATTGTTGAAAATGCAGTGCTAAGAGAAAAACCATCCCAAGGACCCAAACACTTCAGTTTGTAACTTCTTATTTGGACCAGGAAAGGAATGGCTAGGGCACATGTGCCTTTTGAAGGAAGAGGCTGGTGTGTGTATTCTAGGGTTAATGAACGCATGAATTTCATTTCTTTGCCTGGTAGTGACACCCCAAAATCATCACTTTCTTCCTTCTTGTAAATAAACAACAGAGAATTTCTTGGAAAAAAATAAGTAACATCTTGGCTAAAAGGCTGATGCAATAATGGGAGAGGGAGTGACCACGGAGCCAGGGTCTCAGGCTCACAGCCCTCCAGAGGCCAGGCAGGAGGTTTGGCGGTCTCGTTAGAATGTAAATTAGATGTGTTTGCTTCCAAAAAACTTAAAGGTAGTGTCTTGATGCAGAAAAAAAATTAAGTATGACCTAAAAATTCAGATAGTCCAAAGATCTGTGGACATCTCTTGGGTCGCGGACCTTAATCTGTTTAATTCTTGCACTATCGTGGAACTTTCAAACATTTAATGTCATCTGCTCTACTGGACTCGAAGGACGTGGAGGACAGGGATAATGGCCTCTTATTAAATGCCTCTCATTCTCCCATATTGCCAGTGAGTCCAGCGGCTCACCCATAGCTGATGTTCAGCAAATGTGAGCTGGTTGACGGACTCTCTATGACCGAAGATGGTTCTAGTGTTTCTGGTCCCAACTCTCCTCCTTCCATGGGGGTGTGCTGAGTTCATTCTAACCACACCCTTCAGTTCTCTCTCATCCCAACTTTCTCCCATTTGTAGGACCACAGCTGTGCTTTTATATTATGTATTAAAATTTCTATGTTCAGAATGATTGTCAGTTTCTTTTGTGTGTGAAATACTATTGTGGTTATATTAGTTTTTAAAAAGAATCCTAATGTCCAAAATAAATACTGAATTGTTCATGGGCAAAATGTATATATCTGGGATTTGCTTCAAAATAATATGGGAGGAAGGGAAATAAATGGAGATAGAGATGAAACACATTGGCCATAGGTTGACAATTGTGAAAATCAGTGATGGGTACAGGGAGCTTATCATTTTGTCTACTTATTTTGTCTACTTTGGTATACATTTGAAATTTTCTTTAATAAGAAGCAAATTTTTTTCTATATCCATAAAGTTGCTTAAAATTTGCCATGCTACAACTAGTCTACACTACTCTTTTACTTTCCTGTATAGGAAATGCATGAAAGAAACGACCTATTAGACCAAGAAGATTTTTGAGAACATTAGGGCTCAGTTGCCAAAATAACCAGAAATGAGTGAGACAGTACCTGAATATTTCCAAGATCATTCGGGTGCAGCAGAAAGTGGACTTCTTGTAAAGTTGTCGGTTGATTCTTGCTACGAAATTTGAACACTTCTGAAATGATTAACTCAGCAAAAATGGTTTTAGGAAACCCCAAATTTCCTGTTCCTATTGCTGGAAATGCAATTGATTTCAAGGACAAGCTCTCGGTGATTTCCAAACATTCTCTGATTATGTCTTTCATGATCTGAAAAGCACAAAGCACATCCTTATACATTTTGCAGAGAAATAGGAGTTAGAACAAAAAGAACAAGAATTTAGCAACTTTGTGGTCTCTGTCTACTCCTTTTTGCTTTCAACAAAAACAGGTTAAGGACAGTGAGAAGGAGAAAGAAAAATACAGGAGGAGACGAGGAAAAGGAAAGGAGAATGTGAGAGACCCTCCAAAAAGATTCAAACTCACTCAGCAGTGAAGGAAAGAAGCAAAGCAAGGACTCTTCTAATCCTTCATTCTCTTCTGTTCTTCATGCCCTCACCTCCCTTCCTCACTAAAGACACGCTGTCTTCAATAACTCTTCCCTGAGCCCCAATGATGGCTGAGCACTAGAGTCAATTCATATTATTAACTAGTCCTCAGGAGAAGTTAGTTAGCTACAGCTGAAAGAAAAGGCCATAATGATGGAACCCGCCAAGAACGTGACGTTATTACAGAAGAGAAGCAGACAGGGTCCAATCTACATTACACTGAAAGGAGAGTCCAAAGGGCTACCCAATTCCCTGGAGAATTTAAAACCAGGCCCACCTCCTGTGAAGACACGCTGCCATTACTCCAGTCCGGAGCCACCACATGAAGCACACGGTGGCAATGCAGATTGCAACCACTGGTTTGGAGAATCGTGCCCACGCTAATGGTCATCCCTTGTCCGGCTGTGTTCAATTCCTCCTGGAGCTGTGGCCCAGCTTTATCCAAGAGGGCCCGAGAAAGGGGCCCTTTATTAAGCGCGAGATCCGAGGGAATGGAGTTGACAACAACATCAGTCTTGAAGACAAAACCAACACTTTGTTTCAAATTCTAACAAAACTCATTCTTCAAGGATTACTATATTTGAAGCACTGGGCTTGGCACAATGGGGGACAACTAAGGTGATTTAGTTTTCAGAGACTGAAATACCACCTCAAATCAAAGTGTTATTAGAAACTATTTAAATAACACTCCAGGACAAAAGAGCTGTCAAAAAGCAATATATAGGTGGTATGGGATCCTTGAAAAAGTCCAAAGGAAGTGCCTTCAGTGACTAGTGAAGACACCATGGGCGATGTGGGGTCTGAGAAATGGGAATAGTTGCAGCAGGCAGAGAGAGACAGGGAAGTCATTCAGCAGGGGGAACAGCATGAACATAAGATGTAGGTTGTGAGCTGTGAGTAGATTAGTTTGACCTGATAGAGAGCTTCTGCAGCAAAATGGTGCAAACCAGGCTAGAAATGCTACCCTGGGGGTAAACTGCAGAGGGCCTTGAATGCCAAGCCAACTGGACTTCCTGACAGACAGTGAGGAGCCATGGAAGCTTTTTCAGCAGGATAGTTAGTGTAGGCAGATTAATAAGGACCAGATTAAGATGCCAAGAGAAGAGAGGAGAGGGAACGTGACCAAGCAATTTTCATGGGTCACTGGGGAATAACGTGTAGCAGGTACTGTGGCATCAGAAGCCACACATCTATGGGGATGAAAGGAGTGGAAGGAATGTCTCACCATTCAGGGTTCAAGGTGGATGAGGAACGGAACTCATTCCAATCACTGACTCTTGGTTAAAAGAGGCTTTTGTTCACTCCTTTGTTCGTTTTTAAATGAGGAACAAAATTATTTTTAATATTTTGAAATTGTGCAATGGTTAAGAGCCTGAACAAATTCCAATCCTAGATCTACCACTTATTAGCTGTGGGACTCAGGCAAATTATTTAACCCCTCTCAGTCTCTTTCCTTCATCCATGAAATGAGAAGAATAATAATCCTGGCATCTACGTCATGGCATTGAATGAAAAAAGGCATGCCAAGCACTTAGCATAGTGCCTGGCACAGAGTAAATAATCAGTGTTAGGTGCTCTTCTGGTAGTTATTATTTAAGCTTACTGTAAGTAGAAATCAAATTTTTAAAAATCTTTCAGTATTTTAAACTAAAAAAGAATTTTTAAAAAAATAACAACTTGACCAAAAAGGAAGATGATCCACAGAATGGGAGAACATTTTTTCCAATCACATATCTGGTTAGGAACCTGTGTCCCAAATATATGAAGAGCTCTTAAAATTCAATCATAAAAAGACAACCCAATTTAAAAGTGGGTAAAGGATCTGAACAGACATTTCTCCAAAGAAGACATGCAAATGACCTTTCCTGGGAGTTCCTTCCCCAGGACTGCCCACAAGCCCCCAGTGAAAGAATAAACACCTGGCACAGCCCTGGGGGCTTCCAGGGCTGCTGTTCTGATTAGTTAGGGCCTGTGTTGAAAAAGTTGTTAAATACATTTTTGAGAAACATGTCACCACCTGGCCGACCTACAAAAACTGTCCCTGCATACTACCCAGACCACAAGAACTGTCCCTGCATACTACCCAGACCGTTCCCAGGTCCACTTTCTACTTTTCTCCCCACATTCTCTTACCGGTGTTGGGTGCCAATGGTCCCCCAGACTCAGGCCCCCTGCTCACTCCAGTTCAGCTCCACTGACAAGATTCCTGTCCTCTGACCCCATCCTAGGCTCTAATTTTTCTGTATCTGCTATCAGTAAGTTTGACAGGAGATTAACATTACATTTGCCGAAATACGACACGTGTAAAGGCACTGAAAAAGCATACCAAGCCTTGTAAATATGAAGTATCATTGAGGATTTTCACATTTACTGGACACCTAGTGATCTGAATACACTTCCAGTTCCCACAAATAACTGGCCAATCTCTCTCAGCAAATGTCTTGCTAAGTAGCCCAATTTTCTGAGGAAACCTGTTTCGAAGCAGAGATGGAGGGCGTAGGATTCTCTCCCTTGGTTCTAATCTCCCTTTGGCAACAGACTGACTGTGACAGCACCTTGGTGGGTGTTCTGTACGTAGGGACACTCACCGTTGCATTCTGCACATCTTCTTTCACCAGCAGGATCCTCAGGCCTCCTGGGGACAACAGAACTTGTCCATTTCCATGATCTTTTCTCAAGCTGGGCTGGACTGCTGCTGGAACACTGGGCAGGGAAGCAGTACCAGGCAGGGTGTTTTTAAACATAACTTTCACAGCTTCAGCGAAGGCCTCAACAGTCTTCTCAGCTGTATCCACCAGGTAAATCTCTTTCAAGGTGCGTCCATCCCAGTTATCCCGGAGGTGTTCCTTGACAGCCAAAACAATGGTCTCCACACACTGGAGTAAGGGAAAGCCCAAGATTCCGGAACTAACAGCAGGGATGGCTATGGACTGGCACTTGTGGTCTTCAGCCAAACGGAGACTTTCTTTCACAGCTCTCTTTAACTGGCCCACACACCTCTGGGCCTCATCTCTGTTCCACCGGGGCCCCACTGCGTGGATCACATGGTGGTATGGGAGCTTTCCTGCTTTCGAGATGGTGGCATCGCCAGCTTGGATCTTGCCCTTTCTCTTCACTATCTGGTCACAGTCTGCTTGGAGCTCAGGACCAGCTGCTTTTAAAAGAGCAGCAGCCAGGCCGCCGCTGAGTTTGAGGTCCTCGTTTGCTGCGTTCACCACCACTTCAACAGGAAACCGTGTCAAGTCGCCCTGCTGCACAATCAGCGAGACCCCAGGGGCCACGTCTGTCCGAGAGAAGCACCTCTGCCTATCATTGCTGCCTCCCTCCTTTTCCTCATTCTTCTGTAGTGCAATAAAACAACCAAACAACCGTTTGACCTCACTTTTACAGTACCGTGCTCTCTCCTGGAACACCTTGCTGGCTCCTGGCTTATTGATATGGATGCTTTTAACACAGGCTGAGTCCCGGGCATTCTTGACCATGTTCATTCCCTCTAGGACTTCTGCCTTTGGGCCAGTTAGTAAAATGCCTTTTTGTTTGTTCTCAGGATTGAAAGTTACCTGCACATTTTCCCTCTTTAGCTTTTGCCAGACTGGCTTCTTTTGTGCCCTTAAATAATCAACAACCAAGGACAGTTTTACTTCAATAAATCTCTCTATTTTCGTGTGTTTTTCCACGAAGTTAGAAAGCAAGCCATGGACTTCATTGACTTCTCTCACACAGCCTGCGATGATGACCTCAGCTGTGGTTTCTGAAATTAACTCACTGATTATTACCGTCTTTGAGGATGAATTATGTTTCTTATGCAAATTGCGAGTGAGTTCTTTCCATTTCTTGTGATTAAGAACTTCCCTGTCCTCGACATCAATGTGCTTATAAAGTAAGGCACTGACCATCTGCTTTTCAGCTTCTAACAGAACTTCAGAAGAACAGCTGCTTAAGAGAACAGCTGTGCCGTCTAGCTCATAAACGGCAAGAATTTTCTGTGCTATAAAAAGAGACTCAGAGAATTCTGCACAGTCTACCTGTTGCAAAAACTGGAAAACCTCAGCGGGAAACTGAATGTTTTTCTCAGCCATGGTGTACACCGTTTCCTGGAGTTCACACTTCACTTTATACACATCTGCTCTGAGTCCTTTCAAGCACAAGCATTGAGTGGCTTTATCATAAGCCATCTCCATCTCTGGGCACTCCATGCGGAGACGCTCCTGGACACCACTGTGGCACAGAAGAGAATACCTTCCTGGAGAAATGGCCACTTTTTCCTTCAGACTTTGCTCTTCTCTTTTAATTTTTTCAGTGGTGCTTTCTATTAATTCCTTGACGTGTGGCTCAATGTTTTGTATATCCTCTGATTTCCCCACTAAGGTTACAATCCCCATACTTGTATCAAACTCCAACAAAATCCTATCATCTTCTAAATCATTTTTTATGGCGTCCCACACTATTGGATCCACTTTAAATAGAGTAACTGTATATTTAGACCTGATGCCAGAGAATGCTGTGGAAGCATCTTTCTGCCAGGTCTTGATTCTTCGTCTTCCTTGGTTGACTAAGGTGGCTGCAGGTCTGATGGTAACTTCACCACTGAGTTGGGACCATGTTAGCTCACAGTGACAACGTCTCACTTCATCATTTATCTCCTCAATCAGGTGATTCTTTTTCTGCAAGAACTTCCATAAGGGAAGATCCAAGGATTCTCGGAATGGGGCTGGAAGCTTGATCAGAGGCTTCTCCTTTCCATACAAGGCTGTGCCCAAAGATGTATAATATGGGAACACAGACAGCGGCATATTATTGAGGTCAAGTTTCTTGGTCATGATGGTGTCTACCACTTAAAAGGAAAGAAATAAAATAAAGTAATCCCAGTGTAATGTGTTTCAAATGAGAAAAAAAAAAAAAAA